TTTACAACTGAGTGTCTACATGAGGGTAAATTTTAATTTTCTTTCTATGCTTGAACTAAAAGAATAGCAGCAGATCTAAAAGAACGCAGAAGCAGATCTGAAGATCCAGATGTCTTCTCTGAAGCAAATATGAACAGATATGTGGACACGTAAAACAGTGCCACTGTTCTCACTACAGTTTTTTCTCCACCTGTCCCTCCCCTATTCTGACTTTGAATTTCCTTCTGAATCTCCTTTAGCTCTTTATAGCTTAGTCTCTTTGGCTTCAATGACCAGCACTTCTGTTATGTGGGCAGTAGAGTGAGGACAGAGGACTGATGTTTGCTTGTGGTAGACAGCTTGGAAGAGCCAGGAGACCACATTAAAAAGGCAGGTAGGAGTAATGGTCCCAGGGCTGTGGTCTGAGGAGAGGTTTTTGCTTAGACATAGGGTAAATGGAGGGAAGACAAATGGGAAGAGAGTTGCTAGCCCAAGGAGTAAAATGGGTTGGGTAGAAGGATGGTGGTAAGAGAACTAGTGAGTATATCCAGATCGGGTGCCTTGAAGAGAGGGGGGAATTGGGAAGGGGATATGAAATAATGTAGAATATTGCCTAACCTGCCTTTGGCAGTTTAAAAGTAGAAGAAAATTACCTTTTATGTGCTACCTTTCTAAAATAATACACTTTCTTAGGCAGCTATTCGGTCTTATTCTAAGACATCCTCAGTTTCTTAATTATTATACTTAAAAAGTATCAGACATCTAGTTTTTTTAAAAATAGCAAGTTTTTTTTTTAAGAGACAGGGTCTCAGTATGTTGCACAGCCTGGGCTGAAACTCCTTGGATCAAGCAGTCCTCTGACATCAGCCACCTGGGCAGCTGGGACTGTAGGCACACGTCACTGCACCAGGGCCAGTTAAAAGTTTTGAGGCATCTTTGGCAGGTTATATTATTTCTGCCGGAAGCCATATACATTCGAAATAGGAGTTCTTCATCAAAAATAGTTCCAAGATTGAAAAGTGTGACATTCCTTGCTTTTTCTTGAATAGGAATGAAGGAATAGTAATAAAAATTTTTATTTTTATTAAAAATAGAATTCAGCCGGGCCTTGTGGCTCATGCCTGTAATCCCAGCACTTTGGGAGGCTGAGACGGGCGGATCACCTGAGGCTGGAAGTTTGAGACCAGCCTGGCCAACTTGGTGAAACCTCGTCTCTACCAAAAATACAAGAATTAGCTGGTGGGCGCCTGTAATCGCAGCTACTCGGGAGGCTGAGCCAGGAGAATCGCTTGAACTCAGGAGACAGAGGTTGTAGTGAGCTGAAATCGTGCCACCGAATTCCAGCCTCGACAGCAAGAGCAAAACCCCGTCTCAAAAAATAAAATAAAATAAAATAAAATATAAAATTCAGGCCAGGCGTGGTGGCTCACACCTGTAATCCCAGCACTTTGGGAGCCTGAGCTGGGCAGATCACCTGAGGTGAGGAGTTCGAGCAAGACTAGGCTGACCAATATGGTGAAATCCTGTCTCTACTAACAGTACAAAAATTAGCCAGGCGTGGTGGCGTGTGCCTGTAATCTCAGCTACTTGGGAGGCTGAGACAGGAGAATTGCTTGAACTGAAGGTGGAGATGGCAGTAGACAGATCATACCACTGCACTCCAGCTCAAAGATATATATATAGTAATAATAAAATTCAGGCTGAGCGTGGTGGCTCATGCCTATAATCCCAACACTTTGGGA